CGCTAAAGAGGAATTTATTGCCTCATGTAACTGAGAAATAGCGCTGGCCACAGGTACGGCTGGATCCAGGACCAAACCGGATGTTGAAAATCTTCCCCAACTCTAGCCTTGGTGTTGATGGCGTGTGGGCCGCAAGCAGCTGCAGGCTCACTTCCTGTCTTTTCAGAAACCTTGGTGGCAGGACAACACCTGTTTTCCCGGAAGTTCCAATGAAAGTCTCAGAACTGGGTTTCATTGGCTCTGATTAGGTCAGGTGCCTGTTGCTGAGCCAATCACAATAGCCAGGGGAGGGAATATGCAGATTGGGCAGGCCTTGGGCCTTGTGCTCACCCTTAGAGGAAGCAATGTGGGTCCTTCCCCCAGACTATGCAGACTGAGATTGGTGGCTCCAAGAAAAAGCAGAGGGAGGGGAGAACGGATAGCGTGTCTGCCCCTGGGGAGCCCCAGGCTCAAAGGGGTTAAGTGACCTGCCCCAACAGGCAGGAAAGGAGCCAGGGCTCAAAGCCAGGCGTTCCAGGCCCCTGCCCAGTTGGCTCCTTCAGTTGAGCCCCCAGGTTGTTTAGTGACCCCGGGCCAAGCAGAGTTTCCTGTTGCCTGTGGGCATTTGAGAAACAGCCCTCCGTGTCTCTGCCCTGCCCAGATTCACAGCTCAGCTTTCCCACTTTTTGAACACCTACGCGATAACATGGTACTCTCTCCTGGATGCCTCGGGAGAGCCGCACCTCCAAGAAACCAGCAGAATTTATCGAGCACCTCTTGTTTGCGTGGCCCTTGATTAAGTGCACTTGGGGTAGACCCGAGAAGCTACAGTCCCCACCCGTGGGGTCTATGACCTCCTCAATAATTAGCTTCATATCATCCTGGCCTCCTTTCTCTTCTTCCCTAAGCTTGTTCCTGCCTCAGGACCTTTGCTCTGGCTGTGCCCCCGGCCTGTATCATTGTTGTCGTTCCCCCCCCCCCCGCCCCAACCCCAGCCCCATCCTTGCACGATGAGTTCCTTCTCACAGTTCAGGTCTCAGCTCATATGTCACCTGTTCAGCAAGGCCACCCCAGGCCATCCTAAATGAAGGAGCCCTCCCACTGCTGTCCTCTGTCAGGTCATTCTGTCAGTTCTAGTTTCTTTTCTTTTTTTTTTTTTTAAAGATTTTATTTATTTATTTGACAGACACAGCAAGAGAGGGAACACAAGCAGGGGGAGTGGGAGAGGGAGAAGCAGGCTTCCCGCGGAGCAGGGAGCCCGACGCAGGGCTCGATCCCAGGACCCTGGGATCATGACCTGAGCCGAAGGCAGACGCTTAAGGACTGAGCCGAAGGCAGACGCTTAAGGACTGAGCCACCTAGGCGCCCCCAGTTCTGGTTTGTTTTGCTTGGAGCAGTTAGCGCTATCCAAAAGAGTCTTGTTCCTGTAGTTAATATTCTGGTTGCCTCCCTCTGCCAGGAGCAGGGATTTTATGCCTTGTTCACTCGGTATCACAGTGCCTGGGTGCTCAGTAACTACTGTGCTTGGTGAAACTGATGAAGGGAAAGGAGTGTACCTGTTTGGGGAGGAGCTGGTCATCCCTTGCTGGCTGCACCCCTGCAGCTTCTTCTCTCCCCAGTGAGCCCATTGGCCAATCAGGTGGCCCGCCATAGGTTTCCTTATAGGGATAGAGCCAGTATTTGGGGGTGGGAACCTCTGAGAACCAGCTGCTCCTTCCCCTTAGGCGGTTCTCGGAACTGAGGCCACGTTTGGGGCAGTTCTCAGCTCGGGGCCTCTTCATCCTCTGCAGCTGGGTCACCAGACAGTTCCTTGGATGGTTGTTTCCTTGGGAAACCCAGACCTGGATCCTTCTCTTGTGGGTCTTGTTGAGGGGGATGGGGTGCTGTGGGTAGTGTCTCAGGTCTTGCCAGCCCCACTTTACAAACCATTCAAAGGACTTACGCATTTCCCTCTGCGTATAGATGAAACATGTGCTTGGTAAAAAATTCAGCAAGGAAAGTCTAAGTTCCCCCATAACTCCCCATTGCAGAGAGAGAACCACTCTTTCTAGTCTGGTGGCTACTGCTCTAGAGTTGTGTCTACTAGTAATATGATGTTGACGGACTCTTTCACGTATCACCAGATTTCATCCTCACACTAAATGTGAGATTCCCCATTCCACAGGTGAGGAAACTGAGGCACAGTTGGTCCATATTCAGTGTATTAGTGTAAGGCACGGGCTAAGGTGCTTAGCATACAGACCCATAAACGTGTTCTAAGGCAACATGGTTTCTTTCTCTCTCATCTGACTGTCCTGCTTTGGTGGGGGGGGTTGGTTCACGGTGGGCTGGTGCCACGCCTCCTTAAGGCATCCAGAAGCCTGGTTCCTTCGGTCTTGCTGCTCTGCCTTCCTCTGGGGTGTGGCCGTGGACCACGAGGCCAGGTTGACCTCACTGGCAGATGTCGGCTCTACAGCCTCGGGTTGGCCAGAGGAGGAGGGGACAGGCTGGGTTGCCGTGGTCACTGCTGCTCGCTTCCCATTGGCCGGGCTTGGTCACATGGCTGCACCTAGCCGCCAAGGAAGCCAAGCCATGTCATTTACTGGATGGCTGTGCATCCTGTTAGAACTCACATGGGGGTTGTCTTAGTCCCTCTGGGCCGCTCTAACAAAATACCACGGACTGGGCAACTTACAAACAACAGAAATCTATTGCTTACAATTTTGGAGGCTGAGAAGTCCAAAATCAAGGTGCTGGCATGGTCACATTGTGGTGAGGTCCCTCCCCTGGTTCCTTAGTCGGTGTCTTCTTGCTGTGTCCTCACATGGCGGACCTAGAGAAGGAGCTCTGTGTGGTCAGCTTTATCTGGGCACTAATCCCATTCATGAGGGCTCCTCCCTCATGAACTAATCCCCTCCCCAAAGGCCCCACCTAATATCATCACCTTTGAGGGTTAGGATGTCAACATAGGAATTTTGGGGAGACGCATTTAGGCCATCACAGGGGTTTTCATTCTCAAAAGGAAAGGGGAGAGTGGATTCTGGGGACAGTTGGCAGTTTTAGCTGCAAAGAGCTGATAACTGATGGAGCCAGGATGGGAGCCCGGGCAGGCTGTTCTCCTAAGTCCTTTGCTCTGATCTGCCATCGGAGGTGAGTGCTGCCGGGCTCCTGCCTGACCTGCTCCGCTCCCACCAGGTGGACATCATGCAGATGTGCGTAGTGGAGCTGAAGGACAGACCGGGCAAGCCTCTCTTCCACCTGGAGCACTATATCGAGGGCAAGTACATCAAGTACAACTCCAACTCAGGCTTTGTTCGTGATGACAACATGCGCCTGACACCACAGGTGAGGCCCCTGAAGGGGAGGGTCCCTGTGGGTGTGAGGTCTCACCCGTAGAGGGTCCTCAAGCCTCATGGAGCCCCCCTGAAGTAGATTCTGAAACGGGACCACCCAGCCAGCTTCTGTGAGCAGACCTAACATCCCTGCAGGATTAAACAGGGTTCCTCCCTTTACCCTTTCCCCTCTACAACCTCTCCTTGCAGGGAAAGGCCCCACCGTGGGCAGAGCTGGGGTGTTGCAGCCCCTCAGTGGTGGCTGACCTGTGTCCATGCAGACTACAGCCTGGTCTTTTGTGGTCGGTCACCTTACTCTTCCTGTCTCCCCCCTGCCCCTCCCCCAGGCCTTCAGCCACTTCACATTTGAGCGCTCCGGGCATCAGCTGATTGTGGTAGACATCCAGGGTGTGGGCGACCTCTACACTGACCCGCAGATCCACACCGAGAAGGGCACTGACTTTGGAGATGGCAACCTAGGTAAGTGGGGAAAGCCAGCTCGTTTCCATGGAGACCACACTCCGTCTGCCCCGCAAATCTCCCAGCTCTTCGTATACCCAGGGAGACCGACTGAGGTGGTAGGTTGGCTTTTCCAAGATGGTGGGGATGGAAGCTTGGGACGCCTGACACCCGCCACTTCAGCATATTCGATGCCTGCCCTTGCCACATTTATGGTGCCCAGCGCTGCCCTGCCCCTGTCACAAAGCAAGTCAATGCTCCAGACTCCCCTGCTCTGTCTGCAGGTGTCCGGGGGATGGCGCTCTTCTTCTATTCTCATGCCTGCAACCGGATTTGCAAGAGCATGGGCCTCGCTCCCTTTGACCTCTCGCCAAGAGAGAGGGACGCCGTGAATCAGAACACCAAGCTGCTGGTGGGTGCCCAGTGGGAACCTGCTCAGAGGGACCGGGGGCCCTTCCACTGCCAGGCCAGTAAGCCATGCTTCTCTGTGATGGCAGCCTAGGCCCTGTGATGCTTACTTGAAGAGTTTCAGGGCCCAAAGGATCTCAGCCCCATCTGTGCCCCTCATCCCTCCCAGATCAGTGCACAAAGCCCTTCCAAGTGTCCCCACTAACACAGTAACTGGGGTCTACTTGATCGGACCTATTCTGATCAGAGTGAGGAGACCAAATGTGTAGAGTGAGTGAGAGAGGTGTGTGGTATGTGTATTTGTGTGGCGTGTTGACAAATGGCTGGACTAGACTTGGACCTGGCTCTTCAGGCACCTTGCTATGTCCAGGATGTGCCCACCCCCTCTGCCATTACCTTGATCAGATAAAAGAGACGTTTGGCAAAGACCAGCTTGGGATTCTGGATGTATGGTGTCAGGTATTCCCCAGCTCAGGGCTGTAGAGTATGGTCAGCACTTTGGGAATGCTGGCTGGCTTTGAGCTTCTGTGCCAGATGCCCCTTTTTAGAGGCCTTCGGGTTAACCCCCCACTGATTATTTTTAGATTTCTTGCTAGTCCCTAAACAGGTATGTATGGGAGCTATGGACTGAAAGGGCCTCAGGGTTCAGGTGAACGACATGCTACTAAAAGAGTCCTTCACTCCCCAGAGGGCTCCTATGTAACACAGGTGTCCCTGTTAATTCTCCAGCAATCGGCCAAGACCATCTTGAGGGGGACAGAGGAAAAGTGTGGGAGCCCCCGAGTAAGAACCCTCTCTGGGAGTCGCCCCCCCCTGCTCCTTCGCCTTTCAGAGAACTCTGGAGATGAGAACATGAGTGATGTGACCTTTGACTCTCTCCCTTCCTCCCCGTCTTCGGCCACACCACACAGCCAGAAACTGGACCACCTCCGTGAGTGATGTTTTGGTCCCTGGTCATCATGCTTGGAGGGGACAGGCACCAGAAAGAACACTGCTAAACTGGCTTTCACTTACGTTAGGAAATCAGATATGCTAACCAAAAAGGGTCATGGCCCAGATGGTTTTACGAGTGAGTTCACTGAATAAATTTTCAAGACACAAGTCATCCGAATGCTATTAAAACAACCCCTATTTTAGAAAACAAGGTAACATTTTTCAGTGTGTTTTCTGAAACTAGCAAAACCTTTATACCAAAATTTAACAAAACAGCAAAAAAAGAAAACCTACATTCCAACCTCACTTATAAATAAATACACAATACAGAAATTCTAAATAAAGTATGAACAAAAACCAGTAGTATCCTAAAAAAATACTCTGTCATAATCAAATAGGGTTTTTGCAGGCATCTGAGAGTTGTTCAACATTAGGAAATTAATGAACATCATCTGAATAGGTCAGAGGAGGAAAACGGAATCCTTATTCCCAAAGCTGAAGTGACAGAGTTGGCTGATGATGCGGACGTGGGGTCTGCAGGAAAGAGGGTAGGCAAAGATGACTCTCCAGGGTTTTGATCTGAAGAACTTCAAGGGCCATTTATGCAGCTAGGGCAGTCCACAGAGGAGCAGAAGAGGAAGATTTTAGTGTCAAATGTCAAGCCTTTTAGACATTTCCACTTAGAAGACCTTGGGTATAGTTTGAAACAGGATTTGACAGACTTTTCTTAGAAGGCCAGAGGGTAAATTTTTTAGACTTTGTGAGACATATGGTTTCCGCATTAGCAGCATGAACATGGCCATAGACAGCACTCAAATGAATAGGTAGGGCCTTGTTCCAATAAAGACACTGCATTTTATTTATTTATTTTTAAAGATTTTATTTATTTATTTGACAGAGAGAGAGAGATAGAACAAGTAGGCAGAGAGGCAGGCAGAGGGAGAGGGAGAAGCAGGCTCCCCGCCGAGCAGGGAGACTGATGCGGGGCTCGATCCCAGGACCCTGGGATCATGACCTGGCCGAAGGCAACCGCTTAACCGACTGAGCCACCCAGGAGCCCCTAGACACTGAATTTTATATTTCATGTAATTTTCCAATATCTCAAGATACTACTCTTTTAAATTTTTCAACCACTTTAAAATGGAAAAACCATTATTAAGAACCACATAAAAAAAGGAAACAAGCCAGATTTGGCTGTGGAAGCTCAGGGCGGGAGATAGAAACTGGGAACCACCAGGAAGGAGGTGGTTGGTTTTTAAGCCATCTGAGGCTTCCCCAACCTGTAGGTGCTCATTGGGTCCCAAATACACACATGGTTGTTGTTCCTTCACACCTGCACCTCATTGAAGGCCAACCATGGCCCAGGTCCGTGTGCTTCTAAGCACATTGCACGAGTATATTTACATTACAACTTTGAGGAGGCACAGAGGTTAAGTTACCTGCTCAGGACTACCCTTACAGGCCCAAGGTCATGTAATGGGGAGGGTGTAAGGAGCTGGCTACCAGGAGCTTCTGGGTATGGCCTGCCCTCCATTTCCAACAGCTAGCAAGTGGCAGACCATGAATAAGGTTTTTTTTGTTTTTTTTTTAAGATTTATTTATTTATTTTAGAGAGAGAGAGCAGAGGGGAGAGGCAGAGGGAGAGAGAGTCCCAAGCAGACTCTGCTAAGTGAGGAGCCTGACACAGAGCTTGATCTCATGACGTTGAGATTATGACCTGAGCTGAAACCAAGAGTTGGACACTTAACCGACTGAGCCATCCAGGCACCCCAACTCTGAATAAGTTCGTGAGGAAGCACTGTAGCCCCCCCAGGCGCTGACAACATTCTTTTCCCATTTTTGCACCTTCTTAAATTTAAAATGAAAAAAGGCCTGGTGGCTGGTGAATTCAGCTCTAGGCTGTAGCTGGTCTTTTAAACAGTTCTCCTGATGGAGCTGGTGCATTATCTCTGTTTTCTCTTGCCCAGAATGGCCTGTGTTCAGCGACCTTGACAACATGGCACCCCGAGAACACGACCATCTGGACAACCACCGGGTAAGCTGGAGAGGGACCAAGAGAGCAGGGCTGGGAGCAATGGACTCACTCCCAGTCAGGACCAAGGCTGAATTCTCAGACCCAGAGGTGGGCAGCCCAGGTCTACTCCGGGCACTGCCAGGGGGCCCAGAGGAATGCAGATAACTCTCAGCCTCCTGCCCCAGGCAGTGGTGTCCTCTGGGAAGAGCTGGCTCCGTCGCAGTTCCCAGAGATGGTTAGATCTCTTGTGTGCCCCTCTAATTTGGATTCTAAAAAGGAATCCAAATTAGCAACAGTGCAACCTTCTGGTAAATGCCGAGCGAGCTCAGCCCTGGGCTGGTCTGGCCACATGCGTGTGGATAGCTGTCCTGGGGGAGGGAGCTATCCTGGGTTTCAGACGAGTAACTTACAGCACAATCCGATGTGATGCTCTCAGGCTGGATAAACAGGACCGGTTTCCAGCAGCCTCTGACTGATCTGTGGTAGGAAGCTGAAGGCATCACATTTGCATTCACGCAAACTTATATTACGGTGTCAAAATAAAAACCCCTAGGAATTTTAAAAACAGACTTTGCAGAGAGGTCACCCTTGCACAGACTTCAGGTGCACTTGAAGCTGCACCCTGGGATTGCTCCAGAGGTTCAAATTCACTCGTGACTGCTTTTCAGAGTTTTCGAGTGGAAGAAAAAAATAAGAGGAGCTGACATTATGGAATTGTCCCTATGGGCAGACGCTATTTTAAGAGCTTGATAGATACTCTCCTTTAAGCCTCAACAACCTATGAGGTAGATACCATTTTTTATTCCGTTTATACTAGATTTCAGTCTAGACTTAGAATAAATTTTAGAATTTCAGAATAGCTCACACATTCTCATGGTTGAAAAGGGAAAGGTCCAGAAGATTCGTAAGGTGAAAAGCCTGTCTCCCATCTGTCCCTCAGCCACCTGCTCCTTAGCCCTGATCTCAGAAGCTGCCTGGGCAATGCTCTCGTGATCCTGATTTAGAAATGGGGACACTGAGGCACAGAAAGGTTCAGCCACTTGCTCACGGTCACTCAGTGATGGAGTCACGGTTCAAATCCAGGCCATCTGGCCTCAAACCCACTCTCTCTACTGCTGTACTTTGCTTCTTTTCTCCACCTTGGAGTGGGTATTCCCCCCATTTCTCAGATGAGGAAACAGGTTTGGAAAGATTGGCTACCTCGCCTGGGGTCCCAGAGCTGGGAAGTACAGAGCTGGGGTATGAGTGAGCTCTCTATTGCTCAGCTTGGGATTCAGTCCAAAGGGTGGGAGGAGGGGCCCAAGGTCGTGTAATGGAGAGGGTGTAAGGAGCTGGGTACCAGGAGCTTCTGGGTATGGCCTGCCCTCCATTTTCAAAAACAGCCTTTCACTCAGCACACCAAACACTTCAATCGAGTATCTTATATCTCAATTTTTAAAATTGAAGTATTTTTTTAAAGATTTTATTTATTTATTTGAAAGAGAGAGAGATAAAGCACAACCAAGGGGAGAGGCAGAGGGAGAGGGAGAAGCAGACCCCCAGCTGAGCAGGGAGCCCGACATGGAGCTTGATCCCAGGACCCTAGGATCATGACCTGAACTGAAGGCAGATGCTTAACCATCTGCGCCACCTGAAACTTTTTTTTAAAGATTCTATTTATTTATTTGACAGAGAGAGACACAGCGAGAGAGGGAACACAATCAGGGGAAGTGGGAGAGGGAGAAGTAGGCTTTCCCGCGGAGCAGGGAGCCCAATGCGGGGCTTGATCCCAGGACCCTGGGATCATGACCTGAGCAGAAGGCAGACGCTTAATGACTGAGCCACCCAGGTGCCCCTTGAAATATTTTTTAAAAAAGAAACCAGAATAGCCTTTCAGTTCACACAGAACAAAAGCCTTGGGGGAGATAGAAGAGAAGTCCATAGTGCTTCTAGACACAAAGGCAGGGCCTTTTTAGGATATGCAGCTCCTCGGGGTGGCGGGATCCCTGGCCAGACCAGAGGCTAAGGATTCCTCTGTGTATGTTTGCATGGCTCCTGCCTGTCTAGGAGAGGGATCCATTAATACTGGTGACACCAAACTTCTTTTAAATATGTATTTATTTCAGTAAAAAAAAAAATGGCTTATCTATAGAGAAATAATAAATATGAATTCACAAAAGTGGTTTTACCTGGAGCAGGAAAGAGGTACAGTAGGGAGGGGCACACAAGAGATCTAGATTTTAACAGTAATGTTTTAATTTCTTTTAAAAATAAAAGATCTAGGGGAGCCTGGGTGGCTCAGTCGGTTGAGCGTCGGGCTCTTGATATCAGCTCGGGTCGTGATCTCCGGGTCGTGGCATCAAGCCCCGGGTCGAGCTCTGTGCTCAGCACAGAGTCTGCTTGGGACTCTCTTCCTCTCCCTCTGCGCCTTCCACTTGTTCTCTCTCTCTCTCTCAAATAATCGATCAATCTTTAAAAATAAAAGATCTGAAGTAACTAAGGCCTAATGTCAGGAGCTGACAAAGCCGAGTGATAGGTGCATGGGAGTTCATTTTAGTATTTTCCGTTCTTATTGGCGTGTTTGAAATACTTCTTAGTAGAACGAAGACGGAAACGTAAAAGTATGAGCTGAATAGTGATGCTGGTGACATGCAGATACGGCCAGAACCAGACGCTGTAGACAAATGACTGAAGTTTTAGAGATTCTGAACTATCTAGAAGAATAAAAAATATGTCGTGGTTTTGGCAGAGGACTTCATTGTAGTAAATATTGCTCTCAGTGCTACAGTTGTGTCCGTGGGTCACAGCTCATAAACCAACCTTTGTTTTTCTGCTTGTGAAATGGGTGAGCTACTCTTAATAATAGCACTTCCTGTGATCCACAGTGGCTAACACCTCACTTCATCCTCATCCTTGGATATAGGTGCTATATGAATCCCGTGGCTGAGGAAACTGCTACCCAGGGCCCACAAAGCTCAGACTCGAGCCCGGACAGTCTGGTTCCAGAGCCCAAGCTCTCTGCCACTACTTTGTACTGCTCCCTTGTCACCCAACCAGCAAGGGCAGGGGGAAGAGAATGTTAATTGAGGTGACAGGACAAAGGGGAGAGAGCAAATGGCTGGCATGTCCGGAAGTCACCACCACTCAGGACCACTGAGACCCCTAGGACCATCTTCTCTCCACAGGACTCCGAAAACAGTGGAGACAGTGGATACCCCAGTGAGAAGCGGGGTGATCTGGATGACCCAGAGCCCCGCGAACATGTAAGGAACCCCCAAGGAAATGAGACCAGAGTGTTCTATTGCCTCGTTGTCCAGGAGGGTGGAAAGGTGGGGGGGAAACGTGAGTGGGTCTTGAGAACATAATAGGTAAATGGATACATGAGATGATTTCAGATAAAAATAAATGCAGGGCACAAAATAAAACAGGATAACGTGGACTGAAAGTTTAGTAAGGGGTCAAGTATGGGGGATTAGACAGGGTTGAAAATGTTGGACAACTCTTACGGCGAAGCTGGAACCTCTGGTTATTGGGTAATAGGTCGAAATGGTGCTAGAGTAGGTGGGAGGGTCCAGCTCCACACGTGGTATTCTGGCGTCCCTGGGGAGGACAGGTTTCCAAGGGAACCCAGCAGCATCCTGGTGAGGGTGGCTTCGGCAGTGTCTTCCACGTAGAGGTTTTGCCGTGTGCCAGAGTTGAGTCTGAGCCTTCGCACCAGTCTTGCTGGCAACCCTTTGGTCTCAGCTTTGTTACTGCAAGTAAGACTGTCACGGGAGCTTTGGTAAGAGGAAGGAGGTTTTCTTGGAGCTCGTCTGCCACGATCCTGTGCCTTTGAGTCATTTCCATCTGTGCACACAGAGAGGGTGAGGGCAAGGTTGTGGGCACACCAGCACATCGGTCCTGCTTGTAACCCAGCATCCTCTCTGCTTGGCACACGAGAGTCCAGCTGCCCTTCCTAGGGGACAGGCCTGTCCCTTAGGAGGAGGGTCCCCTGCCAGGGGTGGGGGGTGGCGAGGGGGGCTGGGCCTGTCCCCTAAGAGGTTTCCCCTGGAGGGGAGGTGGGGACCAGTTCTTGGGAGGGAGAGCCGCTCCATGGCTCATCCTGTCCTCCTCCTCCCTCAGGGCCACTCAAACGGTAACCGGAGGTACGAGTCAGACGAAGACAGCCTGGGCAGCTCCGGACGGGTAATGCGCCCCGAGGCATCCTTGTCATGGCTGTGTGCTTGCCTTCTCCAGCCTCCGCAGCTCCTCTCTGCTGTCACTGCTGCCTGCCCAGGCGCCTCACACACCAGCTAAAGGAAGATTTTGCAGAGGAGCCAGTCCTCTTGGCAAATGCTTTTTGATCCCCTGGCTTGGGCGGGGCCCTGGGGCATCTGAGGAGAGGAATAGAGAAGAGCAGCATAGCCCGTCCTGGTAGGGCAGGTTATAAGGACCACAGCTCACATGTCAAAGTAATGCCCATATAACCTTATAGCATTTGTTAACTTGTTGCAACCACCTAATGAGACAGGCTAACGTTATTCATCCCCATTTTGCGTATGAGAAAACCGAGATCTTAAGCAGCTTTCCCCGGGTTCGCTGGCAAGTGTTTCTACGCAGATCATCTACACCATGCGCTCTTTATTTACCGCATGGGACGAGGTCTCAGCATGGTGTGGAGCAGGGTGGTTCAACCGTGGTGCTGCTGACATTCTGGGCCGGGCCCATCTTTGTCATGGGGGATGCCGTGTGCACGGCAGGATGTTTAGCGCACATGGACACGCAGCTACCTGGCTCTGTCCTGCAAGGACCTTTGGAAGAGAGTGTCTTCAGCTGGGAACATGTTGTGTTTTCAAAACCCATTCCCCAAAGCATCCTGTTGATGCACAGAAGCAAGCGGAGTGGATTTGCTGCAGGGCCTGAAGTCAGACTTTTCTGGTGCTTTGTATGGGTCACAGGCCAAGGGGGCAGCTTAGGGCCCAACCTCCCCAACCAAAGCCTGCTCAATAAATGAGAGAGAAACACTTTGAACTGCCACAGTACTTCTGCTGGCCTTTGTGCTATGACATTCCCTCAGCGCCCACAAATTGGCAGGATTTGAGGGGTTAGAAATGGAGCCGTGTTTGTCCAAGAAAATTTGACACCTTAAGGGTTTGCTCCCTGCAGCTTGCTGGCCTGGTTTGTGCAGTAGGAGCGGCCGGCGGCTGGTGACGGCACCTGCGCTCCTGCCCCTCATTCCCTGGCCCGTAAACCGGGCCCCGTTCTCTCCTGCAGGTCTGCGTGGAGAAATGGAATCTCCTCAACCCCTCCCGCTTCCACCTGCCGAGACCTTCCGCCGTGGCCCTGGAAGTGCAGAGGCTTAATGCTCTGGACCTTGAGAAGAAAATCGGGAAGTCCATCCTGGGGAAGGTACCAGCAATGCCCATCTCAGAGCCCTCTTGCCACTGACCCAGAGCCCGGCCCATGCTTCGGCTCCTCTAATCGCTTCCTCCTGCAGGCTGGCTGGGTGGCCCGGGGGGTGCAGCTGCCCAGGCAGCCGGGCCAACACCCAAGTCTGTGCGGCAGGTGCATCTGGCCATGGTGCGCTACCACGAGGGCGGGCGCTTCTGCGAGAAGGGCGAGGAGTGGGACCGCAAGTCGGCTGTCTTCCACCTGGAGCACGCAGCTGACCTGGGCGAGCTGGAGGCCATCGTGGGCCTGGGGCTCATGTGCTCACAGCTGCCCCACCACATCCTGGCCGACGTCTCTCTGAAGGTGAGGGGTGGCAGGGACCCAGCCATGACAGGGGTTCGGTCTTCATCCTCCCCATCCTGCAGGTTTGTGCATGCCCCAGAAACTTCCTGAGCACCAGTTTGTGGCCAGGCACTTGCTGGTTAGCTGAAACTGGTGGGATTGGGCTCTGCCCCTGAAGAATGAGTACAAGGTGACAGTTTCCAGGCAATTACGACACGGCGTGATGGGAGAAGCAGAAGATACTAGGGGAAGCAGGTGGGGAAGGGCCCCGAGTGGGTGTCACAGGGTCAGTGGAGGCTTCCTGATAGCAGGTTCCAGCTGGGTCCCCGGTAGTGAGAACAAAGCCCGACACACAGTACATACTCCGTGTACATTTGCAGAACAGATGAATAAGGTAACCTCTGAGTTAGACCTAAAAGCTGAGTGGGAGTCAGCCAGGCAGAGTGTGGGAGGTGAGCCGTGAGCAGAGGTGACGGGACGGTCAGACGTGAACAACTTTGCTGCATCAGGTAATAGTTTTAAATACTGAGAAATGTGTCTTCGATTTCCTGTGCTAGTCACCGTGTCATGATTACAGACGTGACACGCTTTTAAGTTTAATCTACATTATCAATATTTTCCCCATCCCTTTGTTTTCATCAAAAAGAACAGTCAAATTCTGATCTGTAGAGTGGCACCTGGCTCAGTTGGTGGAGCAGGCGACTCTTGATCTCGGGTTGTGAGTTTGAGCCCCATGTTGGGTGTAGAGATTACTTAAAAATAAAATCTTTAAGGGGCGCCTGGGGGGCTCAGTTGGTTATGCATCTGATTAAGTGGTTAAGCCTTGATTTCGGCTCAGGTCACAATCTCAGGCTTGCTGATGGAGCGCTTAAGATTCTCTCCCTCCTTGGGCGCCTGGGTGGCTCAGTTGGTTAAGCGACTGCCTTCGGCTCAGGTCATGATCCTGGAGTCCCGGGATCGAGTCCCGCATCGGGCTGAGTGGGGAGTCTGCTTCTCCCTCTGACCGTCCCCCCTCTCATGCTCTCTCTATCTCATTCTCTCTCTCAAATAAATAAATAAAAAATCTTAAAAAAAAAAAGATTCTCTCCCTCCCTCTCCCGCTACCCCTCCCCTGCTCTCCCTTTCTAAAACAATAAATAAATAAAATCTTTAAGAAAAAAAATTCCCGATAACTTCACAATCAGCTGTCACGAGACTGTAGAGCCAACTCCAGTATAAAGCTGCCTTTGGCTTGTTTCCCCAGCATCCGCCTCCGAGCCTGGCACAGAGAGGACACTCAGGAGGATCTGAGACCTGAATAAAGTAATCTCGGAGCCCAGAATGAGTGGTGAGGGGCCAGGACTGGGGGAAGTCTCCTTGTGACCTCAGGCTGTTTACACAAACCACACCCTGGCAACCTTGTAAAGGGATTGAGAAGCCATTTCAGTTTCCCCATCTGTAGGCATCCCGAAGGCCTTTCTCTGGAGGATGGACTCTGGCAGCTTCCCCTAGCAGGAGTGGGGTTGCACAGAGCTCTGAGGTTAGGAAAGGGCAGGCAGGAAGGAAGTGAGCTGTGTCCCAGCAGGCTTATGGCTTAGCAAGTAAAACAATGGGCATGAGCCCTAGAAGCCACTGTGAGCTCTAGAAAGCCCATCACCCACTTTCTCCAATGCCTCCTTTTTGCTAAGGCATTCATTTACTCGGCACATGCTTTTTTCT